GGGGGGGACGGGGACCACACCACCATCAGCAACTGTTTTGCGAATGGTCACTCTTCATAAGTAATTATCACTTTCTGGACCTCCTGAATTTCCTTTCCCTCTTTGACAGTTCCCTCCCCATCCATATGCTCGTAGGGGGTGTAGGCATAAATATTGGTGGATTATAGCAAGACTATTTCAGTTGCACGGAGCTAGAGCGAAAGAGAAATTGCACAATTATAGGGTTGGTAATAATGTGCTCAAGGGAGCTGGATCCCAAAGCTTCCCCCCCCCCCAATAAACTCCAAAACAATTCTTTAAAAACACTCTGAGGACATGGTGAGAACATAGCAGGTGAGGATATGCTAGCCTCACCCAAGATTTCAGGGGTTGTACATGAAATTTTAACTGTTCCGGAGGTTGGGAGTTGTTGATTTTGAAAAAAATGCATCCAGAACTCCCAAGATCCTTTCTGTCTTATCACAAACCCCTAGTCTTTTGCTAATGGTCACTATCTGTAGATATGTGTCCTTCCACCATTCACCCCATCCTCTTTCCTGTGTCTTCAACAACATCGATGGGTCTACATGATGCTCCTTCTCTCTGCCATATTTCTATGAAGAAGACCATGCACTGTTACAGTGCCTCAGAAAGAAATGGGTTTGTCTTCAAGACATCACACAAAGCTTGCTGTTGGTTTTGCTATACTGACCTGACTTGGCTCTCCTCTTCGGGGAACTCTTCCTTAAACTCTTTGTTGGTCTTGGCCCACTTTGGAGATGGTTACCAAGACAGGAAGAAAGTCAAAGGAGGAGATTTCTGCAGCTTGGCACGCCTTCTGAATGTTCTAGAGATATTTCCTCAAAGTCTTGCCAAACGTCCATATCTCCGGTGCCTTCCATTTCCCACTCGGAAGATTCAATCCGCTTGGTGTATCCTGTCTCTTGAAACCCAAGAGCACACCCACTTTGCTTTATCTTCTTTCCCCCTCCTTCCCCCACCATCTTATCTTACAGGACCATTTGCCAACTCTGAAGGCTGTTGGGTCTACAAGATCACAGACTTCAGTAGAAGCCACCACGCTTGGAGTAGACATCATGGGTAACTGCATTCAGACTGTGAGTCTTTGCAAAGTTTTTGAGATCAAAAACTGAGGGGGGGGGGTCAAAATGTGGGGGAAGGAGATCAAAGCTTGGGGGGGAAGAAGAGAGGGGAACTAATGTAATGCAACGGTGAAGGTGCTAGACTAGGAGTGGAGAGATCCTTCCAGTCCCCCCTTAGCCATGGAGGCTCCCTGGAGGACATTGGGACAATCCCTCCCCCTCAACCCAAGAACCAGAATGGTCTAGAGGTGAGGGTGCTGGACTTGGAGTGGGAAGACCTGGGTTCAAGTCCCCCCTTGGCCACAGAAACTTCTTGGGGAACTTTCTCTCAGTCTAGTCTAGCTTACAAGGTTGTTGTAAAGAAACTTTGTGGAAGGAGTATTATATACATTGAGATTTATAGATTTAGGAATAGGTATAAATACAGATGAAGACTTAATACCTCAGAAAGCCGGTGTAGTGGTGAAAGAGTTGGACAAGGAGTCAAGAGATCTGGGTTCAACTCCTGTCTCAGCCACGGAAAGTCCATAGATGCTTTTAGCTAGAAAAACTTTTTTAGCTAAAAAGCTTTTTACCCACAGGGTTGTTGTGGGTAAAAAATGGGAGGAAGGAGCTCCATGTACGCCACTTTAAATTTTAATCTTCTGAAGGAAAGGCAAGATGGGGATCTACAAATACATAAAGGCTGACTCAGACAAAAGCTGGAGGACTGTTTTGTTGAAATAAGCTGGGTGTTATGTTTGTTCTTCCTCAGGAAAAATAAAGTGTTCCAAACAATTCATTTCTGAAAGGGCACAATAGAGTTTGGGTTGTGTTCACAGAGTAGGGGGGGCTGCTTTGCTTTTGCAAAACTTCCAGGAACTACCATGCAATCTCAGGCTACCGAATGGTTACATGGCCTTCCAGGAAGTGTTTCTGAGAAGCAGAGAAATGCCCCCCGCCCCCCAAAATATGGATATTTTTGGCCAAGACAAAAAAAGAGAAACTTATTCTGAACCTTTATCAAAAGTAAATTTCATTGCTAACCTCAAACCAACCAGTAAATTAATTTATGTTTGGATCTCTTCTTTCAAATCTGACATTAACCTTTCTGGAGCAGAAATCAGCCAGCAAAATAATCATGAAAAGAAGGCAAAATTCATTCCCTAGAAGCCTGTGACCTTCCTGTGCAGACAATAAAAAGTGAAAGAATTATGCAATTTGATACAAGACAGCTATATATGATCCCAATTGTAGTAGACTGAAGGATATAGACCTTCTAAATCGGTATTTAAATGGAAATTTTATATGTCATGAGAAGAAAGAAAGAAATGTTTTTCCCCAAATCTCCCAGAAATAACAGTATTTATATACAGTCATAAGAAAACTGCAAAGAGAGGCTAGACAATCAATCTATAAAAGCCTGAAATATCAATAGACAAAATGATATTATTCAACCAAGCAAAATGCCTTTGCTCCCATAAACAGTCCCTTAATTTGCACAGACGAATTTGCGAGGGGAACACGCATGGGGCACAACAGATAAGCCATTTTTATTTTAGCCTGACTAAAGGCCTCGTGCTGCGCAAGGAAAAGGCTCGGATTTTGTAAAAGCGCTGGGAGGGGGCGATTTCAGTGCACGCAGATCGAGGTGCAGAAATGCATGGCAAAAACCAGGTTACCCACCGGTCACAGTCGAAAGGCAAATACCAGAAGTGCAACCGTTTGCCAGGTGGGAACACATGCAACGGATGGGTCTAGCAATAAGTTTTAGATTTGCGATCTTGGTAGAATCCCCATGTTCATGAAACAGGTCACTCCTAAATCCAGAAGGGCTCAAGGTGGCCATCATGCGAGCAGCAGATGATTGGAACAGTGGAAAGGGGGTCCACAGGCCAACCCACGTATCGTGGCTCTGTAGCATCAGTTCTTGGCAGAGACTAAGCAAATTAACTCGGGTTTGACTGTTCCCTGTGCTATGGGATTATAACTCAAGCAGTGCTCAGAGATCCTAAAGGTGCCAAAGAATAAGACTTGAAGAGAA